GACCGTTGTTTTGGAAGCTGATAATGATGGGCTGAACGGCAAATGAATATAATAGAATATTTAAAATAATACGAAAAGTATAAAGTGGAGGGGCTGTACCCCGGACGCAGAAATTAAATATATATTGACCGTATTATGTGCGTGTCTGCCTTATGTGCCTCTGGGCACGATAAGGATTGATGTTATGCTTTCGGAACGTTTTACTCGGGCGCGTATTAATTTCAGCCTTGCATCTGACTTCCATCACCGCCTGACAGGCTCAGCCTTGATGGCATTGATTGCCGAACATACAGGAGAAACAAACCTGCAGCCAGTTTTCTCTTGGCAAGGCGGTTTGATATAATGCCTTATAGTGCATTACATATGGGTCTTTCATCGTTGATTTCTCACAGAGATGTGATTCTAGACATGAAGTTCTTAAACATGGAGTGTCGAAGAACTGAAGTTATGAGCATAAGTCGAAGAACCGGAGTTATTTTATGAGCATAAACGTGGGAGTGCGTTCCGCCCGCGCGATGAGTTGTCATAGCAGCATAAAACTTTCAGTACACGGATATATATATATTTTATAAACATTAGGATAATTATAGGTAGAATTAGATATAGGTAGGTATAGGTAGATAGATGGTAATAAAGGATCACAAACAGGAAACATTATTTCCGTGATTGACTTGTTTGAGACGGCTAGATGAAGCGCATATATGTGCATAGAAACGTGTGCCGCTCCCAGCCCTTAGATAAACAAGAAAGAAATTCTCCATCCCGTTAACTATACTTAACTTCTCCCCTTATCTCTCCCCCACCTCGTGAGGCAACCTCGCATTTTGCACCTGTTCAGGTGGTGAGCGTTATACGGGAGGGGACAGGAGTACGCAAACCACGCGAGTCAAATTTGCACTGTCACAGCTGCGGTAGACACCGGTAAACATGGCACAGTATGATTGGCTGTCGCATGGCAACATGCCTGTCAACAATGTGGCATCGAGCAGGTAGTGCGGCAAACCCAGGTAGAGAAAATTGCTGCTTCCCCTTCCTCTCAGCTCACGTCCACGCCCGTAGGTGCTTTCCTTCCTACCATACAACCTCGCCTTCGCCTGTCACATAAGACCAGAGCTCCTACAGCAGAACTTGCATTTCCTGCGGTTCCAGTCTGCGAGATGTCTTTTTTTCGGCCGGCACTGTGAGCAGGCTGTGCCATGGAAGAATTCGCTGTATTAAAGACATTTGGCATAGACTAGATTTCCTGACCAGGCCGATGTAACGGCGAAGGTTAGTAAACGTCGTAATTGACTGAAAACTAAAAGTGAATCATGTTATTTAAAATAGGCCGTTGTTTAAACTTTTGATTGCTTTACAATAGACGGCAATTGGCACATCAAGTCTCTCTCTCTCTCTCTCTCTCTCTCTCTCTCTCTCTCTCTCTCTCTCTCTCTCTCTCTCTCTCTCTCTCTCTCTCTCTCTCTCACAGTGTCGCTCCTGAAGTTTTCCGCTGATAGAATGTAATAAAACATTTTTTCTCTCCCCCCACCCCACCTCACCTCTGGCAGACAGTAATGTAGCCGGTCAAGTACGTGTATCTTCCTCCCTCCCCCAACTCTCGCGTCTGTCATCTGCCATTGTGGGATACTAATCGAGGTTTTCTATCGGAATATCTTTCGTAAGAAAGTTTATGTACAAGTTAGTGTAGTAAACGATAATGAGTATTTGTGTGTTGAAGTGAAATAATCAGCGTCTTGTCCCTTCCACCCAGTGCCATGTAAAGATGTAATGTAACTTGGTGCACATTCTGTAATATATTCTCTACACCAGCGGTTCTCAACCTGCCGGTCGCAACCCTTTTTGGGATCGAACAACCCTTTCACAGGGGTTGTCTAAGGCCATCGGAAAACACACATTCATTGAAGTAATGAAGGCAAATAATTGTTGGAGGTTCGCCACAACATAAGAGAACTGTATTTAAAGGGTCGCGGCATGGGGAGGGTTTGAGAGCCACTGCTGTACACGATTACTAAGATCTATTAGCGTGACCTCTGGTTTTCGTTTCGTTAGCGCCACTTGAATATCGCTGTGTCTTTCTTTCAAAGAATTTTAGACTGATATATTCCTTTCATTTATAAAAAAAAAAGGCCACGGGTAGCGGCGGGGAATCGAGTGGTGTTGTAGACCATCATCGTCAGGCCTCTTGCACTTTCGTAACTAACATCTGATTTATGTTCGTCTTTAGTCCTCTGCAACAGACCTTTTTATGGTTGGTTTGTTACAGTACGATTCATGTTCTGTGCCAAGAATTGTATATATTTGGCTTGATTATAGTACTTATTCCCTTTGGCCCCTGAACCTGAAAGCTTTTTTTTTTAGGTGGCAGAGCTCCCAACCCCTCCGTGCAGAGAGTTGATTTTTAAAAGCATTTATTTTATATTTTGTTTGCAAATATTCTTTATTTGCTATTAATGCATACTAATTATTATTTTGCAATTAAATAGGTCTTTAGTGTGCGCCTACCCCCCCCCCCCCCCCCCCCCACCCCACCACCACCACCACAGTAACGTTCTAGTGGTGGTGCCCAAAGACCTAAACCTTGTTTTGTAGCTCAGAAATTGTTTTTGTTGGTCCGCCTGCTTATTGCTCCATGTTTCTCTGCACACTTTTTCGGTCTATTTCTCCTACATATAATTCTTTTTCCTTGCCTCTGTACATCCTTAACAGCAGCGTGTATTACCTCCGGAATCTCACTAAATAATTCGTTGCTGTCTCTCGATAATGAAGGCTGGCTGCAGTAACCGTCCAACTCGCTAGATGTAAACTGTCTCAGACTGCTGTTTTTTTCAGCTCTTGCTGTTATCCCCCCCCCCCCCCTCCCACTTGTTCAGTGGCCTCTTTTTGCTAAATTTTCTCCCTCGTGGTTTTTATTAGCAATTTCTGTTTCTGTGACCGAAGTATTTTATTTGCCTGCCTTCCTTTTTAATTTACCGCCAGCAACTTTTTTTCATTTTAAATTCCATGTCATTTCAGAACCTCTGCCTTAAAAAAAATCTCTTGGAATGAAGGCTAAATGTCTCATATATAACAGCTTGGTTCGTGTGTTCTCTGTGCTGTCTGACGTCATGAATGTTCAGCGCGGTAAAATTGGCATCCAGATAGCCCAGCATCTGTCTAATGGTCGCTCTTATTTTCACTTTGTGGTGTCCGTTCACGAAGTGGAGAGATACTGATCAGAAATTGGTCCGATGGAGTATCGATCTGATGGCATAGAAGCGCGGGCACGTCTGTCCTCGCCCCGGCCTTTCGTATCGACTATGATGTCGTTTAACAAACGCCGAGACGGCACACTCGTGATTCACAATTGACGGCACGGGGAGGGGAGAGGTAGGAAGAGGCGCATGGTTAGAGGGGAGGGGGGCTAGTGTTGCAAGGCTTTGTCATCTTTATTTCGTCATGACTGTTGTAGGATAAATGGCGTCCGCTAGGCGGCAGGTAATAGTCTCATTCGACCGTGGTGAATTTTGGTCGCACTTGGAAAACCTGTTTCTGCTCAGCTAACTCCCTGCCATCCTTTTAACACTTAATAACTAGTGTGAATGGACTTAGCCTGCCCCTCCCCGCCTCGTCTTTATAGGAAATTGAAAAAAAGAGGCAAGCCTTCATTAAAAGAAAAAGAAGGAATGAACATGGACGTCTCCACAACCTATATCTAAAAGTGTCGATTAGGCCTGGGGCTGTAAGGGTCGCTGAATGAGAACACATGCAAGCAGGTCAGAAAAGAAATATAAACACTGATGATGCTCTGCATATCTACACATGTCTGTCTCTGACTGTCTATCTGGATATAAATGTTTAAACTAAACAGGCGAACAAGGGCCTCGTGATGCGAAGCTTCTTTCTTACTTTTTGAGTTCCCAGAAACCATGAGTTGGTAACCTTTTAACTCGGTACTTGATTCCATGATAGATACAGTAACTCTGGGAGATATGTGGCTTTTCTGCCAACCCCCAGACCACAAGGAGTTTGTCACCCGTCGCTACTCAGTCAGGTTTAACAAACTGCGCTAGCGAGCTGGGCACCTAGGGACATGAATATTTTGAAGTGAACAGTTGCAAACAGCAAATATGTTTCTAAGATTTGAATCTAAAAACTTAAATTTTTTTTTGGTTTCAGAATCGACCAGTTTATTGCTTTAATATGTAAAGTTTAAAAAAAAAAGTCAAAAGTCGGGAGTGTACCAGCGTCATTGCAAACGATTATAAACCATAAGTGCTTTGCCAACACACGGACAGCTGAAAAGAAACTGTCCGCCTATGGCCATCTGCACGCAAGCTACAGCGAGGTTCCTCTGTTTACCGCAGTGTTAACTGTGGTACCCATTACCTAGAGGCTGGTTGAACCCCGGGAACCGCCTGATTTTAAACACCAGCAGTGGGCTGCAGCAAGTCCCAGCTGGATTCGAAAGCGAGTCTCCTATTGACTGCACTAACATGGCTCAAAATGTAGGGTTCCAGTAAAACGTTTTCATTGTCAGGAAATTTTGGAGAAAGATAGGATTTCATATTCACATTTGTAATTATTTTTTATTTGTTTGTGTAAATTTAATTTTGAACATGGTTTTGAACATTGAACTTGAAAAAACCATTTGATGCTAGATAAGTCTGTTAAAACAGTAAAACAAGTGTAGAATTCTTGTCAAGCTAGTGTCCATTCAGACATATGCAGTAGAACTCATATTTTTGAATACTATTCGGCATTTTGTGGGTGTTAGGATCAGCATATCAGTCTCTTTTATTTCCTAAGTTACTTGCTGGTGTTAATTTTAGGCTGGATTGGTTCTACGGATCTAACTCAGCACAGATTCGAACCTCATACTTTTATGTTGGCTAGCTAGCATCTAGCCACTGCACTGCCACAGCTGTCATATTGTAACATTACCAAATTGTAATTCCTCTTAGGCTAGACAGTTTTTTTGGCCAACCGCTTATGTATTCTTTCACCATTTCTTGCCATTTAAGGTAGAAGCAAACGCCCACGCGATGAGGAGGTTGGCGAGGAGGATGTTGACTTGCCTAAGCGACGAAGAGGGGAGGGACCTCGGATCGAGCTACGTATCCTCATGCAGAGCAAGGTATTGTATACCCATGTTTGTTCTTGTTTCAGCATTACAGAATCTCATATATACCTGAAATTACACAGCCACCTGTAATCATGTTTCTACAGTTTTGGTAAATTCGAAACTTGTAGCATCGCTTAAGTTAAGGACATGTTATATACAAACATTTAAACAAAATAATAGAAGCAAAATCCTGCACCCAGCATCTAGGATTACAATCAATTATGTGGAAGATTGCAATAAAATTGGGCCTATGAAGAAATATATAGACAATATGAATGCATTACTTAGTACTTCTAACTTAGGTGCACGATTCTGCTTAAACCCAGCAAATTATGGTTAGCTTGATACTGAATGAGTTAAAGAAAGAGAGGAACACATAAACAAAACCAGACATGAAATATCTCGGTAACATGTTTCATTGCCCTCTGCAGTTTCTGCTCTAGACACATGAGAGGGAGGTGTGTTCGATGTTGCAATACAAAGATTTAAATGTCTGCAGGATAATCAGTGTAACATGAATAGTTTGAAATAGGCTGCCATGAAATCCCTCAGGATTCGGGTTTATCCTGAATGCCAGCAGGCATCATAAACGCATGGAGGAAGGAGTTTGCTCTGGTAACTGAACCATAAAGGGTACAATTAAACTCTTTATAAAGAGAAGTAGGCTGTTGCAGACATAGAAGAAATAAATAGTTTGGCTTGGATGCATGTTGTCCCTTGGCTTTTTCTACTTGTACATATACAATTTAGTTTAAAACAAACAATTGCTTGGACTAAGCATCAGTGGGGAGAGTTTTGATGAATCTTATAGACATGTTGATAATACCTTTGCTCTAGAGGAAATATTAGCACGATAGTTAATGAGTGGGCTCATTTGTATAGGTATGATTATTTTGTTGAGTTGATTTAATGAAGTAAATGGACACAACTCAAATTTTTTTCAAACAAACAAATCAGTGTGCAAATCTGTATTCATATCAGAATAGGTTTTAGGTCTGTTTTGTGATTGAAGGTTTGGGGGTATATGTAAAGTTAAAGAAGTCTACAATACTTTCAGCAAGTAATAGGATAATTGTATTTCGGATAACAAATTGTTCGCTTTGGCTCAGTGAATTATGGTACCAGTTCACCGCTGGTGTCTTTTAAACTATCACGTTGTTAGGGTGCCCAGTTGTCAGCATACAAGTAGTAGTTTGTATAAACACATTTTAATGCATTGGCACTTTAAGATGTAGAATGCATAAACAGACATGAAAATACAGTATTTATAGTGGTACATGTTTTTGAGTTAAAACAGTAAAGTAATTGTTCTCCCTTACTCATCATCGTCAATTTCCACTGTTGCTGTTACCTATCATGGGAGAACAGTTTGCTTTCCGTTTGCTGCCAGTTTGAATTGTGGTTTAATACAGTAAATATATGTTTCAGAATGCTGGTGCTATCATTGGTAAAGGTGGCTCAAACATCAACAGACTGAGAAATGATGTGAGTATGGCACCATCTTACTTGTCCCTCCAGCAGTCCTTCTGTCAGTCTCTGATCAGCTGATGAAGGCTTTCAGCACAGGCTACTACAAATAGCCTGTTTTCTCTTTTCTGTAAATCAGTCTGTGACCGCTGTTTATTTAGTTTCTCATGATAATATTAATATTGAACAGTATTGTAGTTAGGTTTCAGTAATTTATGCATCAGTGAGTATCTATAGTTTGTATTATTTGTATTTAGTTTGTAAACTGAAGAAAAAAAAGTTTTGACGCTTATTCTCATAGGAGTGTACAAATGTGCACCTTGTATCATTGCTAATGTCATGGGCAAGGCAAGACTGTTTTGTTTATTATGACTAACAGTAACTCTGAGATTTGGTTATGATACTTGATAAATTCATACATATTATTTTGACATTTTATAAGTGGTCTTCACTTTATGTCATCTTGGTAAATTATAAAACCTGTGGCGGAGACTGGGTATGCAACCGTATTTGAAGAGTTCAGATGGAGTCGCAGAGTTGGTTAACAGACCACCTGACTTAAGTTGAGCACTTATTTTTTTTTTTTAAGGGGTGGGGGTGGAGCTACATTTATGCCTTTGGGCATGAAATAATTTACTTGATTGTTGACTGTGCATACATTTTTAGAAATCTTCTGTTCTTGAAACAGAAGTGTGACTGTATTATGAAACTGTTATGTGCAACTGACAATTAACAGCTGACATGGACTGTCTTGTCTCCTTTGGTTCTTGTGAGGTGGTTTGTCAGAATCTTCACTGTGTATGAATCAATTTTCACTAGTCTTATCTTTACCTTAATGGGAGCTTGCAAAATAGAGACTGAGTGACCACACAAGGTGTCTTGTCTTGCCACTTTTGTTGTTTGTAGTTGAGCCATCGTGTCTTTTTTACTTAACCTGTGGATTTCTACCTGGCATGACCTATTCTTGTTATATAAACACTTATGCATTGTTTCATTATCTTTCACTCTGAAACAGTTATCATATAGACTTGTAAAAATTACATTAGTCAGTCTGGTTCAGATTCAGATCCTGTCATTTTACTACTCTGTTTTCAATAGAAGCCTGAACCCATTTTTGTATTCCTGCAGGATGTAATGGTGTCTTGGAAATCTCTCTCTTCTCCCCCATTTATTCCATAGAGACCTGAGGTTTTTCATGCTATACTATCTGATAACCTGCACATTTATATACAATCTAAAAGCCATCTTCCACTGGTGTCTATAAGAACTAAAACAGTATCTTCCCTATTCTTCAGGTTATTCTTGACCTACAGCTAATTCTTAAATGCTTAACGGTTATTTTCATCTTATGTTGGCTAGGATCTGTGTTGTTTCTGGCTATTAGTATTATTGGATGTTGAGATTTCTTTTTTAAAGGCAGCCCATCATTAATATTACATGATGGCATACAATTTTTACATAATGCTATATTTGCAAAACTAATGTCTGTTCTGTTCTGACAATAATGCTGAATCTGCAGTTCCCAAGGCCCAGAAACACTCCCATGACACATGGTCTGTTTCCATTTAGTCCATTGAAGCATTTAGTGTTTCACAGAGGGAACTGCTGATAATTTTCCTTACCCACGACCGGTTTATGACCTTCTCTGAGACAATATTTTGCATTGAACATGTTTATTATGTCTTTTTTCTTGATTCTGATGAATTTTAGTGTGGCCTTTTCTAGTTTTGAAGTGATCTAATTAAATTTATCCAGATTTTGGGAAGGTGGTTAGTAATTTTAAATGATTTACGTATGGATGTTTTAAAATATCCATTATAGTTGAGGATTGGCCACATTATAATTTATGATAAATTTGTTGCCTAACTGAGTTACCTTTTCCACTCCCTTCCTTCAACAATATGTTTCCTAATATAATCAACATCCCGGTCCTCGATCCCTGACCTGACCCGACCCTGGATTGGTCCCGACCCTGGATTGGTCCCGGTCCTGCCCTTCCTCCGATGCAGTACAAAGCCAGTGTTACAGTGCCAGATAGCAACGGTCCCGAACGGTAACCACCAATAACCCTGACATCCAGTTTTTTTTTTTTTTTTCAACTGTTCTCTTTGTGTTTTTTTTTTTAATATCTTTCATTTAAGAATAGTTAAGTAGAAAGCAAACATATTTGTCATCACTATCTTCTTCTTACTACTTCTCCATTCTTTCAGCCATCACTACCAACTACCACAACCTATAAGCTCCATGACCCCTTCCAGTCCATCCCTCTCCCTTTGTCTCATCACTTTACATTTCACTCTGTAAATCTCATATTCTTTAGTTACGTTTATAATGTACAGTTAATTTCATAATACTTATTCAGGCATTAGGCCTTATAATCACTCACATTTGTTACCTGTTGAAATATCATTAATAGACTATTTACACCTGTATGATGAATTAGACAGTGTAATAATTAACATTTAAGAAAAAGCGAACTAGAGAGAGAGCTAATTCAAAGTAATCCCTTGCCAACACCCAGGACACTCCCTTATGCACTCTGTCCTAATTTTCAGCAAGCAATGAAAATTTGCTGTTCTATTCTGTTAATACCATTAAATTTATAGTATATACACAGTTATGAACAAATGCTTGGTGTGAGCTGGTTGTCCATAGAGCACAAAGGCTAGAAAATGGGAAACCATGTCACATCACTTTGAGTTATGGATGGCAAACAGCCAGGTGAAAGTTTAAATGGGACCGCCTGCGGTAAAGATGTGAAAATGTAGCAAAGAATAAATTAAATAAACTATACCTGTGTATATTAATTGACACATAAAAAGCATACTTATCTGAAATTGAGTTATAAAACAAAATGCGCACACGTACATAATAAATATGTAATTGTGGGGGGAGGGGGTGTAACTAGAGAACAAAAATCTGCCAAACTCAGCCTGTTAATATCAGACTATTTAATATTCTTTTTTTTTGGGGGGGGGGGGGGGGGGGGGGGGGGTGGGATGTAACCAATCAATCTTATGTAATGTGGTTTAACCCAACAGGAGTCGCCGTGTATGTTCCAGGGCCCAATTGTGGGGAGGGAAGAGAACAAGAATAGACCCACTGCCTATTCAAAAGCATGTGGTTAGAGTCAACTAATTGGGAGGTTCCTTCAAAGTCGGAGTACATCTGCCTGAGAGGCAGGGAGCCAACAGTCTGCATACAAATGAGTCAGATCTGTGAAATGGATGCACACGCAACACTCATGTTGTGGAACAGGACTTTGATCCAGAAGTGAATGAACAACCAGAAATTTCCATCAGAGTTTTCAGCCGGTTGAGAAAAAGAACAGAAAACAGGAGAACAGCATAACCATCAGGAGTATGGTTTGAGAATTGCTGTCTCGTAACAGGCAAAGTTTGTTGCATTCCCTGACGTCGTGACAGTGGAGACTTTTGGCAAAGCTCACTCTGTTGTTACTGCTTTCTATGTGGAGATGCAAAGAGTGTTGATCAAGGAGCCACAACCAGTGATTTGCAAGGGTGCATGTCTGTGTGCTGGCCAATATGCTTTTACATTTTAGTTCCTTGTTGGCACACATTTTTGCTGGCACATTGCTTAAGGCAATATCTATATCACTGAAATTTTCTTAAGAGCTAGAGTCAATTATAGATTCGCTCACAATTCAATACTGGTAGCCCGTGAAGCAACATAATTATCTCACAGCTCAAAGGCTTTGGCATATTGATCTTAGGCATCTCTATATCCCATTTTTATAACTGCACTGTAGTGGCAGCTATCGGATTAGTTTTGTTTCGACTTGTTTAGCTATAATGAGGCTCCTAGTGTTGGAATGAACAAATAGACTGGAGTAGGCATGGGCAAGGTGATCTCTTCGCACATCGCTGCTGGATAGATAGAATGGCTGGTGGAGGAAATTTTGTTGGTATAGATGTGGTGGTGCCATTTGCAGCAGTTGCTTTAGTTGTGTTAAATTCTGTCATGATGTGGCATTTTAGTGTCAAGGACCAAATAAAGAGAAAAACCAAGGGTAAAATGTTTTAGCACTGTTGAAGTTCTGTTTTTTTTCCTTCAGTCACCTGATTCACGCACACATTTTATCATCATGGTTTATCTTTCTAGATCTAGTAAGTCAAATTATTCATCCCTTTTCTGTTGATTAGATGACCTCGCACAAGACACCGTTTTTAAACATGCATCCTGACATATTAGAAGGTACCTTAGATCAAGGTTTAGATTTAGAAGACGGATCATCATGGCACAAGGGTAGTAACATATAAATGCTCCGTTTTACTTCTGGCTCAAGCCTGGGTCCGAAAAATCTCAGTGCAGTGCCTGAACTCTGTAGCACTGGCGAGGATCCTGAAATACTTTGGGTAAATTTGTAACTCTAAATTTTTTTTATTTCCAATGGCCAAGGGATTTTTTTAATATGCACAACAATACACATGGGCGTCCGATCTTACTGCCCAGAGACCAGGGGGAAATAACTAGAAAAAAGTCCACGTGGAAAATCCCCAACCTTTACGGGTTTGAACCCAGGACCTCCAGCACTTGAGGCGGGCGCCATGCCTTAAGACCATGCAGCCCCAACCTTTCATCAAAAGAATATTTAATGGTCTGTCTTAGAAAAATTGCTAGGTTTAGGATCAGATTTTTAAAATCTGTTTATAACAATCTATAACAAATCCAAATGTACTTTAACATATTTTGAACAGTGTTAGGTAATAGACATGTTACGTTTATTTAGAAGTCAGCCCGGCTCTCTAGCGTAGTTGGCTAAATCGGATTGCGTGGAGAGTGGGTGACGAACTCCTTGTGGTCCGGGGTTAGGCAGAAAAGCCATATTTCTCCCAGATTTACGGTATTCACAATGGAATCAAGGTCGAAAGGTTGCGATATCCATAATACAGAGCCTTAGGGTTAACAACTCATGGCTTCTGGATACTCAAACAAACAAACATTTAAAAGTCAGAGTAATAATGTGTGTGTCATCATAGGCAGTATATTAAAAGCATGTGCACCTGAGAAAGTATAAGGGGAAATATTTAATTAATCCTTACACAAGAATAGTTCGTTGAGCTCTTTTCATAGACAAAACTTACCAGTAAGGGGAGTCTACTGTCTTTTTAGTTGGCAAGGGATTGTGGTAGCTAAAATCAGCCAAATCATTTAACTGATAATAGGACTGTACATTCAGTAGCAAGCATTATTGTCCTAAAGATATCTGGCTAGCTGAGAAATGTAATTGATTACTGTTAGCTTGTAAAAGATCAAAAATGATAGATTTTAAAATAAGTGGTTTTGGGAGTCTGTGTTGCTCTTGGAAGAATGCAGAATTGATGCTAATGGGATTCTTACAATGTGGTCCACAGTGTTCTGACCGTTGGAGCCGAATTGGGCACAGTCCTGGACATACTACTTGATGTTCTGCCAGATATGGAGGATGTAAGTATTGGTTGGCCAGATATGGAGGATGTAAGTATAATAGGTATAATTGCATTAAAACTTAAAAGTAGTAGCATTCGTCAGATAAAATATTTGCATACCCCCTTGAATTGCTATTTCCTGGGGCGCCTTCATTGTATTTTTAGTTTTGAATTCATTTGTAAGAGGCAAAGTTGAAGATAGATTACTTTGTTTGAACATTGTGTTAGATTTGAATGTAGCTTTTCCTGGGTTATAATGGTTAGTTGAATCAAATCTTTGGGATCTTTGTGTGGATTTGATTGCATATGTATGTGACTGCAGTGAATCTGTCATAATAATGTCACACATTTTCCATGTGGGTTTCAAAGCCCCAATTTTGGGGGGGGGACCCACTTCATGAATGCTATGTGATGTGCAACTAATAAGGGTTTTCTGAAATAGGATGAGCTGGGCTAAAAGTTGCAGACCTCACACCACAGCATAACTGACAACCAGCCTCTTAAGGCCATAATACAGAAGACATAACACAGCACAGGATTAGCTATAATTCACACAGTTACAGTTTTGATTGGTATTTTCATAGATCACTTTAGTGGTGTAAAACATATGCTAGCTCATGTTAGTATTTACAGATCTGATGCAACCTGTAAACCAGTTATTGCTTTCCTGCCAATCCATCAACAACAAAAAATTTATGAACCAGATATAACCTTGTAGTTTCTCCAGTGGGAGGTGTACATTACATCGTTTGAACTATGTTTTGTTGTTTCAAATAAGAAAACACATTGGCTAGTTTAAATACTTGAGTTTGATCAGCTTCTATGTATGTTATAAGCCTAATCTGTAAAGACATTTCATATATATGTTTTCTCTTTAGTCAAGGAATAGGAGAAATGATTCTGAGTCTGAACTGAGGATAATTGTACACCAAAGCCAGGCTGGTTGCATCATTGGCAGACAGGGATTCAAAGTCAAGGAGCTCAGAGAGGTAAATACCATACAGTATTACTAAGAGCGCTTCTTTGTAGTTATATCACTGTATGTTATTTACTCAAACAATGCAGATTAAATTGTATCCTCCCTTTATCGATTCTGGTGCCCGTTGTGGAGGAAAAATATTAGAACCACAGCTCTTTATCTTAAACTACACAGCAGAGATCCAAGCACTAGAACAGGTTGCCAGAATGCTGCACAACACCGTTATGATTGCTACCAAGTAGTAATCTTCACAGGCGAGCTATAGATGCTACAAGCACGCACAAGCGGTAAACTTCCTTACCTAAGTTCTGAACTTTGCAAAATGGCTGCCAAAAAATATACTGTACTGCCGTGGGTGCCAAACCAAGGGTATACCCAGAAGCAAACAAAAGGAAAATTTCTGGTCCAGTTTAAAAAAAGAATATTTAGTTATTATATTATTTTCTAATTTATATTAGTTACATTTGTTTAAGTGATTTCAAAAATCATTTTTGCGAGCTTGCATGTCAACATCAGTAGGTTTCCAGCGGTCAGTACGGCTCCTGCAGTTAAGTCAGGCTTATTAAAAATATTTACTGGAGATTTGATCTGAGAGAATAAAATTCACATGAAACCTGTCATACACTATGGATACATTGTTTGTTGTTGTAACATTACATAAATAATTATTGGTTGGACGATTGACACAAAATGGACAGACTTTACAACCAGCATGAACTTAACAGTTGAATGAATATTCCTGTTTGGATGTGGTACATTTGACACTGAGATAGTATAGTATACATTAGAAATATCGGGTATTAAAAATGTCTTTGAGAATGACATCCCACAATCTGCTGAACTGACCGTTGTATCTCTGTATTGCATACTGTTGCGGGTAAATAATAAATCAAGTTATGGTCCAGATTTGACTATATTTATTTCACAATGCATTGTTATCTTTCCTGCTACAGAAAACTGGTGCCAACATTAAGGTCTTCTCCACCTGCTGTCCAAATTCCACCGACCGAGTGGTGGCAGTCAGTGGGAAACCCAAGGTGGTTGTTGGCTGTATTGAAGAGATTCTGGAACTTCTGCAACAGGTATAACAACATTACTTGCTTACTCATATCTGTATTCTTTCTTGCTAGCATCCCATCATACCAAACCATAGTCACCACTAAAAAATGTTGGGGGGGGGGGGGGGTATAAACTTGTTCACTCTTTCAGTTTCAGTTATTACATGATTTTCCAATGTTCTGACTCTAAAACCCTAAATACTAAGAGACACTTACAGTAATTAAGCTAATCATTCAGAAACAAAGGATATATATTACTGTTAGATATGATAAATTCAAGTTAAGCTATTCATTCCATATGTTGTTAGTTGGGGGGTCATATTTTTTCTTTCATTGAAATGTTGGATCTCTTGCAACACTTGCCATTTTACCAATTCCATGGTTGCAGTCATCAGTATTGTCTGCCTTTAGCTTGTTGAACAAGTATTTTAGTTCACTTCTTACATCAGCATTTTATCGTGTGTAGTCTGAAGATTACTACTTACCCACTTCAGTCAAGCTGGTATTGCATTCAATCTTTCTGACAGTCTGATGCAATTTATTGGTTTTTAAAGGAAATTTAACCTCTCGGTTTTATCATAGGCTACGTCTATATCAGTGTGGTATTTCTTGCAGTCAGTTATTTTGAGTAGGATTAAGCTTTATATCAGGGCTATTCAACTAAGTTTACTCAGGGGCCCGATTTTGTAAAATAGGGATCTTCAAGGGCCATAGGTCCAAACCTCAGTGTAGGCAAGATCATGAATACAGTACAATGGGCAATGATCCGCAGGGCCACTTGCTAACCCTCCAAGGGCCAGATTTTGCCTGTGGGCTGCCAGTTGAATGGCCCTGCTTTTTAAGTTGTCGAGGTGATTACATGCATTACTAATCATACATGTTTTCTGCTAGGCCCCTCCTAAAGGTCCCATCAACCTATATGACCCATCTTACAGCGACGAATTCCTGGCCCCAGATTATGGAGGTTACATCACAGGAGATATCCGTGCAAGCAAAGGATTGCCAAGAGGAGCGGCTCCACCCCCAAGGAATTTGAGAGGAGGCATGCGTGGCAGGCTGTAAGTTTCTCTGCTGTGTTTGTAACTTGTCATGTAAGTGTGGCCATAATTTCATATAGTGACCGTCATATGTCTGTTCTTTGGTTCTGTCATCATGACCAGTGACAGACTGACATAACCATTAAAAAAAAAAAGATTTTGTCCCAAGGAGAGTCAGAACTAATCGGCTTCACATGATCACAAATATGAACGGCAAATGAATGTTTTGACCAGAAGCCCTCATCGGCATCTAACAAATGGGTTTTGATACAGTTACAAAAAAGTATACACAATCACTTCTCTGTAAGTAGAGGTTGATGTAACATGGAATATGTGGTTTTGATGGAGTGAAGAGGGGCAAAAGGTATAAAGTAGGATTTGGCAGGTCACTTTCAGTAGCTCTTTATGCACCCCATAAGGCTCGGTCATTTCCTCCTTCCATTCTTGTCTGGTGCGTTCTTTTCAATGTGGATGGAATCCGGTCTAGCACCTTCAGCTTCTCTCGTCAACTAGCACCTTCAGCTTCTCTTGTCAGCATGTGTCTAAGGGGTATATTTGTTTACCATTTCAGTGCTGGTTTGGTTTTTTGGTGTCCACTTTTCCTCAGGATGTGCCAAAAAAAATAATTAAAAATAACCTTTTTTGAGCAGGGGGTTATTAAATTTTTTGTAGTGACTTTGTCAAATATGTGTGTACATTCTTAACATGTCTATGAGGAGCTATAGAGGGAAAATGTCTGGATACTCATCATGATCATAAGCCCATTTGGAGACAGTATTCTTTGCACAATGATTGGTTTAGCAAAAAAGAACTTTCCTTGTGCTACCAAATATCCTGCAGAATAAATTTATTTGGTGCCAGATGTTCACTTGAAGGTTGTATGACACTGTTAAATCTTGGTCTCTTTGTGCATGAGAGAAAGGAAGTGAAAAACAAAATAAAATCTGTATATTGAGTATGGCTGTCAGATAGTTTTGCTGCATTTCCCATTTTGACTTATCTGGTACTTCTTGAGGTGAACACAATTTGGGATGTCCATCATGTCTTTGCTCCAGTAAATGTAAACATTTCAGAATAAGTATCCACTTATTTTCTAAATTTCTCCCTAAAAACATGATTACAATTAAGTATTTCTTACAGCTAGGAGTACAGATATGACAGGTGACTGGTTTAAAAACAACTAAAACTAAACTCATCAGGGTAGTGCAGTATGCTGTTGTGATTTTTCCACATATGCACTGTTCATGTTCTTGTTACCTAGATTGCCATATTTTGTCACTCGTTTTGCCAATAAAATAGTTTGTAGAGTGTACTGGGCTTTAAAAAAAAATTCAGGCTGATGTTACTGTATTATTTTGTCCTTTATAAAAAACTTTATTTGTCTGTAAAGAATTTTTTTTATTACAGCTTTAGGATAGATACTTGTAGTAAGAAAAGGTATAGAACGGACTCAAAATAAATAGAAGTATGGGACAGAATGAGTTTGAAAATGTACAAATAAATAAAATCTCCTATTGATGGAGCAAGTTAAAGTATGTAGTGGAAACATTCAAGTTAAAGTGTATAGTGAAAAAAAAAATCTAGTTCAGGTTAAAGTGAGTAGTGGACAAAATCCAGTTCAAGCCCCTGTAGATTATAACAGTTTAAAATAAGATTTGTGTATAATTACTCTTCAGCTTTTTGTCTGGCTGAATGATATTTCCTGAGTTGGTTTTGGAACACATGATTTGATAAGCTGGCTTATTTCCATAGGCATGGTTTGACCTCTGAGAATTTTGTGACACTGTTGTTATCTACAGAGGCTTGGAAGGATTCAATCTGGGCGGCGGCTTGGATTTCGGCCGTAGTGGTGGTTTGCGGGGAAATGTCCGAGGGGGCATGCGTGGGAAGTCTTTTGGCAATGACATGGAGCCAGCCCTGGGTAGAGGGCCAGCATTTGGCAGAAGTGGAGGTTTGAGGTGGGTCTCCTTTGATTGTAATTTTTGTAAATACCTCATCCTTTTTCTGCCCTTCCCCACCACACACCCCTGGTTTATGGAAGCTGAGAGTTTTTGAATTTGGTCCTCAATTTTAAGATGTTAATCAGGTGGTTATTAATTTGTTTCCTTATTGCTGTAGATAAATGGTACGTATGCATATTAGTTGTTTCTCGAAATTGTTCACCCTTGATAAACAGGTCACGGTTGTATTTTTTTTTTTGACTCTAGGAAAAAATATTATTGCTGGTACTCGCCATAAAGTGTTGATTACAGATGTTAAAAAAATTTGACTAAACAAAGGTTCTAGTACTGTTTACCACAAAAAAAAATAACCATTGTTTGAGGGTATTAGAGTGCTTATGTGTGTGCTTACATTCTATCTTCTGCAAAAGGTTAAAATGTGTAAAACATCAGCTGAAAGCTTTTTTCTGTAAATGTTACTATCTCATAAAATTGTGTTGGAAAAAGTGTCATTTCTGCATCTTAATTCCCCTTCTTCCCTGCACGCACGCACAGACACCTACACCCCCCCCCCCCACCTCCTTTACTGTCAGTGGTCTAGCCTGTTTGTTGTGAGCTCTGGTGGTCATAGTATTTTATTTCAAACTGCATCATTTATTCACACATGCAAAATTTAGTAGGAGTAGATACTGAAATTTGGGCTTTGTGCCCATGATCTTTAACCTGTGGTCCATGGACCGCTGCTGATCTGAAGTGTTTTTGGCAGTCTGTAAAATAATAATAAAACGCTCTTTAAATTTGTTTTTGCTTTAGCCGCTGGCCAGCCCACAAAATTTTCCCCAATTTCCCAGTTTACAAGTGTAAATTATAGATTGAAGAACAATGTCCTCATGTGACGCTCCTGGCAGGTTGTCAGTCATTTTGTAGAGAGACTGTTATATGGAAGGAACAAAACTCAGTGCAGTGACATCAGTAGGGCCGGCTGGCTAGCATAAGTTGGCTAAACCTGACTTCATGGGGGACCGCCTGACAAACTCCTTGTGGTCTGGATTCACTCACGCCTGGGGGTAGGCAGAAAAGCCACATTTCTCCCAGATTTACAGTATTTTATCATGGAATCAAGGCTGAAGGGTTGCGATATCCATAGTACCAAGCCAAAGGGTTTAACTGGATATTTATTTTTGAAGAAGAAAAAAACCCCGCTTCTCGTAGACAAATCATCTGCCTTCTGTTTGTTGGCATTTATGATTGCTCTTATGCCAAAAGTCATAGACTTGGGAAGGTTTTCACACACTCTCAAAAAAAAAAAAGTTTTATAGTGTCAGTAGTAATATTTTATACTTTGTCATTCTCTTTTGCAGAGGGTTTTTCTTTAAGCTTGAACCTGTAGAATTTTTATTTTCAAGAAACCTCATACTTTTGTAATCATACTTATAGATGATTAATACTGTGTTAGTATTTAAAAAAGGATTGCATTTGTTTGATTTTAAAATAAATTGTATGAACGACTTTAGATAGGAAATACTCTTGTAGAGGGTATTTGTAGACATCAGCACTGGTGTTAATGTTTACGAAAGACGGCATTGTAGAGATGATGAGAGTATTAATACAATGTATACATATATTTATTGCAGGGGAAACATTAATGCCAACAATCTCGGGTTACCCAGAGGTGAGTCTATATTAGTGATAGTGTCGGATGTTTAAGAGTGTTCATGTTTTCCTGTATTTTTTTCTTCTTTTGCTGCAAAAACTCTGATTAGGGGTCTTTTATATACATGTTAGGGGGCAGTGGTTCTCCTCTTTCCCCTCTCCCCAACACACACACTACGTATGGGGATATCTGACATGCTTGTTTAAACATTTTTCACATTCTTTGTATCCTTTCGTTCACATTCTTTTGGGTGTCGTCTCAGTCACCACCCATTTATAGTACTGTTTTGGCTTATGATGTGTTAATAGTCTTAATGTGAAGTTTGCTGGGTTTAGTTAGGACATTGAAGCTAGTTTGCTGTATAGGTTAGTTTTGTGGTATTTTACACACACGTTCTCTTTGTCATAGTATTTTAGGTTTGTTGAAATAATTTATTAGAATGACTACTCCTCCCACACACACACACACACCTAACTTTATTCTTAAATGCTGTAAAATATTGTTCACAGCCAGATAGTTATTGCTCTCATTACAAAAATGGTTTGTCTGTTGTCTTGTATAGGTCTTGGCTTTGGAGCTGGTGGGTTTGGTGGTGGTATGCAGCAAGACTTCAGTGGTGATATGGTATGTTTTTATTTGTTTGGTTTTGGCTAGTACACAATATCTGAGAATGTCCCTAAGGACATTGGTGAATTGGGTAGATGTGGAGGGTGACCTAGTTTTGATGCAAGCCATTGTTAAGTTGTTGAAGGTGGATTCACAAGCTGGTTTTTGCTAATTCTCCCACCCCACGCTATCACCATGGACTAATTCCTGTGCCTGCCTATAGTGCAGTATAACGTGGAAAGAGGGAAACGTACCAACATAGTATTTGTTTATGAAGTTTGGCCAGAGAAATTCTTACTAAAAGATTTGTTTTGAATAATTTTGCACCCGAAGTACACAATTTCAGCTGGTGTTTTCTAAATGTGTTATTATGCTTGCACATCAGCCGGTTTGTCTTTAACATGCAGAAGTATCTTTCTGGTACTCCTAGGAAACCAAAACCCCAATCCAAAAAAGGACAACATCCAGTTTACACATAGTCAGGATTATGTATGATCAGGATGTTGAATTGTAAACTGACCTTGCAGTGGTATACTCATGCCCCAGTCATATTTCTGCAGTAATTATTAGACATCTTTTGAGAACCTGTAGCACAGAGGTCTTTCACTGTTTTCTTTTTCTCCTCTGATATTTGCGATGATATCATCACTATTAGCATTCCATTTTATATTTAGCATTTTGTTTAAAATGGTGAAGACGTGAGAAATACTTGTGGTGCTGTAGCAGTGGGTGACATTCTTTTAGAAGTTATATGAAACATGAGCATTTATGTTACAATTTGAAGAAGCAGAAATATGCCTGGGTGATTGTATTAATAAAAGTTGCAATTGACACTTTCAGGGAGGCCTTGGAGGTGGACAAGGAATGGCTTTTGGTGACGATGAGTGCGAGACCACTCAAGTAACCATTCCTAAAGATGTAAGTCTTGTGTTTTTTTTGGGGTTTTCTTTTTAATAGCTTGTCTTTACTGGTGTTTTGTCTGGTGCATTTTGTTTATAATGCAAGGACCATCTGCAGAAATGTGGTCAGAATTAATAGCAAACTCAGAATTAAGCAGACATAAATTGAGAAAAGTAAAATGTAGCCAGAGGGAGAGAACTGGTAAATTTTAGAACTGGCAGGGAAGTCATTGGCAGTGTTCATATAGGTATTTAAAATATTGGTGGAACTCCTTCCTGTGTAGCGAGTTCACAGATTTGTATTAATTTGAATCGAGAGAGTGTCTGAGAAAAATATTCTTACAGGTTCAAGTTACAGAGATGATGTTGTTTCCTTTGCTTCCTTAGTAGGTTCAAGTTAGAGCTCATGTTCTTTGTTTTCCTAGTGGGTTCAAGTTACAGAGCTCATGTTCTTTGCTTCCCTAGTGGGTTTAAGTTACAGAGCTCATGTTCTTTGCTTTCCTAGTGGGTTCAAGTTACAGAGCTCATGTTCTTTGCTTCCCTAGTGGGTTCAAGTTACAGAGCTTATGTTCTTTGCTTCCCTAGTGGGTTCAAGTTACAGAGCTCTTGTTGTTTGCTTTGCTTCCCTAGTGAGTTCAAGTTACAGAGCTCATGTTCTTTGCTTCCCTAGTGGGTTCAAGTTACAGAGCTCATGTACTTTGCTTTCCTAGTGGGTTCAAGTTACAGAGCTCATGTTCTTTGCTTTCCTAGTAGGTTCAAGTTACAGAGCTCATGTTCTTTGCTTCCCTAGTGGGTTCAAGTTACAGAGCTCATGTTCTTTGCTTCCCTAGTGGGTTCAAGTTACAGAGATGATGATGTTTGCTTTGCTTCCCTAGTGGGTTCAAGTTACAGAGATGATGATGTTTGCTTTGCTTCCCTAGTGGGTTCAAGTTACAGAGCTTATGTTCTTTGCTTTCCTAGTGGGTTCACATTACAGAGCTCATATTCTTTAATTTCCTAGCGGATTCAAGTTACAGAGCTCATGTTCTTTGCTTCCCCAGTGGGTTCAAGTTACAGAGATGATGATGTTTGCTTTGCTTCCCTAGTGGGTTCAAGTTACAGAGCTTATGTTCTTTGCTTTCCTAGTGGGTTCAAGTTACAGAGCTCATGTTCTTTGCTTTCCTAGTAGGTTCAAGTTACAGAGCTCATGTTCTTTGCTTCCCTAGTGGGTTCAAGTTACAGAGCTCATGTTCTTTGCTTCCCTAGTGGGTTAAAGTTACAGAGATGATGATGTTTGCTTTGCTTCCCTAGTGGGTTCAAGTTACAGAGATGATGATGTTAGCTTTGCTTCCCTAGTGGGTTCAAGTTACAGAGCTTATGTTCTTTGCTTTCCTAGTGGGTTCACGTTACAGAGCTCATATTCTTTGCTTTCCTAGCGGATTCAAGTTATAGAGCTCATGTTCTTTGCTTCCCTAGTGGGTTCAAGTTACAGGGCTCATGTTCTTTGCTTCCCTAGTGGGTTCAAGTTACAGAGCTCATGTTGTTTGCTTTGCTTCCCTAGTGAGTTCAAGTTACAGAGCTCATGTTCTTTGCTTTCCTAGTAGGTTCAAGTTACAGAGCTCATGTTCTTTGCTTCCCTAGTGGGTTCAAGTTACAGAGCTCATGTTCTTTGCTTCCCTAGTGGGTTTAAGTTTCAGAGCTTATTTTCTTTGCTTCAATATTGGGCCTCAGAAATACAAGGCCAAACGATGTGATGTTGTGAATTAAGTTAAAATTTGTATGATTACAGCTGGCTGGAGCAATCATTGGTAAAGGTGGCAGTCGCATTACAGACATCCGCCGAAGATCAGGAGCTATGATTGTGATTGATGAACCATTGCCGGGATCAAGTGACCGCATCATCAGTATCAGCGGCTCACCAGATCAAATCCAAAATGCCCAATACCTGCTGCAGATGAGGTAAGAAACCTGAATGAATCAGTCATTGGCTTGTTTGTCAGTTGTGGGAGCTTATCTAGAGGTTGCTTCAATTTGCTGCATTTTTCTTGTCTTCTTTATTAAGCATGTGAATTTAGAGTGTATCAACTGGGGCACCGCTCCCCTACATTTTAAAAAAGAAGATTAGACACAGATAGTTGGGATCATAGTGGTCTTTTAAGATTTCATTAAAAAGTAATTTAGTTAGTCTTAAATGGTTATGGCTGGAATTAGAATAAGTGGTTAAATATAGAGAGAAAACTTGTGGCCACATAAAAAAAAAACAGTGTCGGTTATATGTGATAAAGTGTAGGCATGCTACATCGTGTTTGGCAGTGTCCATAACTTGACATTTAAGACTGCATGTTTGCAGTTTCTGACAAACACATATGCCCGAGTATAAATGTTAAATCATTAGCGACCAGCAAAATGTCAGACAGGAACCAGCCAAATGTGCATGCCGGTTAGACATTGTTTAAAGAAAACAAAAAAATGTTGTGTCCTTTATGGAATGTTGCAGAACCAACTTCAGTGTTTAGTGGTTTTCTGGTTTTAATAGACAATTTTATGTTCAGTAATTTCAGACATTGTAGGAAATGAATATTTATTATCACATTTCTGGGTGGTATAGAAGTTATTTGTTTAGCGCTGTTAGTTTTCAGAACTACTAACACCCTAATGGAATTATTTTCCTCCACCAACGTGCATTCATGTGAAAACCAGCCGTCTGAACATAAAAAATAAATAAAGCGAGCATTCACTGTGCATGGAAAAAATATTTGTCGAGTTTTACAAACAGAACATCAGACATTAAGTAAACATAATTTTCTTGTGGCACAGAAAGGTGGTTTGACATGACAATGTTATAATACATTTAGGCCTCTTCAAATGGATCTACAGCAGGTCTATCAAACTGAGGGCCATATGGGCCAATTTTTTTTTAATGAGGATCACAAGTGACAACCAGTTAAAGTCATTTAATAAAAATTATTGCAGAAAACTTGCTTTGTGCAGGCTGCATGTTTGCCTGCAAAGGGTTGTGTGCGAGCCAAAAGCCATTAGTTTGTCATGCCTAATCTAAAGTGCCTGAGATGTGTCAAAGATAGTTAATCACTGACATTACAGACTGGTCACTGTTTGTTCTAAACTGCATTAGGTTAAGATTGTAATGTGTTTTAACAACTGGTAGTGTTAGTGGTAAATGCAATAAAGGAGGATTGCAGATTTTTGGCAGACAGATAACAGGGAGATATTAAGTTCAACTGCAGCATCAGCTTTGATCATTTCAGTACATCTTGTCGGGTATTTGCATAACTTAATCGATCATACTTCTAATTTGATGTTAAAAGGTGAACTGTTAGGAGCAAGTGCATGTTTTATAAGGGGAGAAAGTTTCATCTTTTTTTTTTATTTACATTTTAGTGTATATTGGGAGGGAATGGGAAATACTCACTACTCCTCAAAAAGCATGTCTAAAGGCAACTAATTGAGGATTTGATGAAATGTTGTAGGCTGATGTTATTCTTGCTGTAAGCCACAACACAATATGCTAACTGTAAGGGCACGCATGGAAGACAAGTTAATCTTTTATATAGGTGTAACTTTGACATACTTTTTAAAATTTGACATTTCATGTTAATCTAGATATTATGGACAGTCTCATAGAATCACGTCATATAGATTCAACAGTGATATAGACTGTCTGTGAAAGGGGGTTGTATATGCTCAGTCTGGGAATCCTAACCCGGCCTGCAGAATCCATGTTTTGCCCGAAAGACGCAATTATTGCAGCCATGTTGTAAACGGCACAATGTATTTACGTCTTTGGATGCATGCGGAAATTGTAGTATACTTAAACTGTAATGATTTGTGTGTTCTGATCATACCTTCAAGTGACATTTAAACTGGGAATCTAGTTCACACAGATATTGATCTATTGCCGGGAAATTTCCCCATCATTTCAGAGAGCAGGGCCAGAACAATCATGTTTTCTTTTGAGATAATTGATAATAGTTTGTAACTCCTGTGTGTTTGTATTGGGCTTGGGGGAGGCAGTGAGATGGGAGGAGGCATTCAGCAAATTGCTGCTTATGTCTTCTGTTCAGATGATAGGAATTTAAAGTTGTAATGTTTGGAGCAAACTGTTATTCTGCAAGATGACACTGAGAATGTTTCTCTTTGATACTTCTGATAACTAATATTAACCACTAAATAACAGTTGTGAATGCTAGATTGTTATACTTTTCTGTTAACTTTTCAAATCCAAATATTTGTTAGGGGTACAGCTGTAAATGTCAGGTATTTGAAGTAACATTCATTAATTGTAGGTTATTACATAAGTGTTCTGGCTAACTACAAATCTTCTTTATGGATGAGGAACACAGATAATGACTGAAACAAGAAATAATTCAAACATTCATAAACTAAAGGGTAAATAACAGAATCGCTAATGCAGAACCTAAGGAGAGAAACAAATTCCAGTGTTTCAAGGATTTAGGAAGAGGTTCTGGTTAGGACATACTGCCACTAAGTGGGTTCAAAGCCCCATTTCTTGGGTAGGGAAAGTAGACCTAGGCCCTATGGCCGATTTCTTGGGAAGAATCCAGCTTATATAGAAAAATGACTTATTTGCATCAGAAGTAGGTAACCATTTTCAGGATTCCTTGAGAAAAGGTCAACTCGAATTCATCATGGCTACTTAGGGACATTATGGCTGTCAGGGCATTAGTCTCATGCCATGACCGCTATTAGTTTGTAAATGACAAGGCCATGGCTGTTCTCATTGTCCCCCTTCAGTACATTATACATTGTCTCCCTTGAGTAGGCTATCAGTCACTCAGTATACTGGTGTAGACATTCCAACTTTCTAGCTGTCCACTGGCTGTCACTGATGTCTTTGCTATCATTGGTATCTTTTTCTTGTACATTGTGTTAGATTATTCCTGCTCCTATTGTGTAAGTCTGTATTAGTTAGGCTTTTCTGGTTTAAATTTAATTTTTTTTTTTTTAATTTCTTTTCCTTAAGGACTTATGTAGTGCTTTTAAGAGGTACCCTTAATTAATTAGTTCACAACATGGTGGAAGAGCAAGAGCAATAATATCTTGTGTCAAAGCCCTATTGTGTATGGTTTTATCAGCATGTAGAATTTTGCGTGAAATATGTTTTACATAGGTTATATTCACTTGGTGATGGTCTTTGCTTGTTTTTTGTGTGTTTTTTTTTTATCATTTGGCTAACCTTGTCACTAATCTAACCCAAATTTGCTATTTCGGTGATGGTTGCCTGACTGATGTAGCTGCACTAACACCTCATCTAGCTGCTGTGGTCTGGAAGACTAGTGATTTAGTTGTTTTGCTATTTGATCAACAATAAATCACAATCTTCTGTGACTACGGCAGACCACTAACACCCTGACCAGCTTAGTGCATGAATTTTACTTTCTCTTCTGATGATTTATTAACAACCGGAGATGTGGGTCATTCTACGTTTCCATATGGATGGTATTTGATCTCCAGTGTGTGTGCTCGTTAATTTTATGAGTTATCAGAAGTTGTTTGTGTACCGTTGTCAGCATCTGTGGCTTAGGCATTGTGAGATGCCTAATTGGGTTCCAGCTGGGAGCCATTTGGCAAACTGCTTTCCATTGATTACAGCAATCTTCTTTCTTCTTTGTGTTCACCAGCTGTACACTCTGGCGTAAAGTTCTGGTTGTTCGTCCACTTCTGGACTGCAGTCATGCTCCAGAACCTGAGTGTTGCATGTGCATCAGTTTTACAGATCTGATTCAATTGAATGCAGACTGCTGGTTCCTTGCCTCTCAGGCAGATGCACTCCGACTTCAAAGGAAGCTCCCCAGTTAGTCGACTCTTACGACATGCTTTTGGGGAGGCAGTGGGTCTATTCTTGTTTTCCCCACAATAGGGCCCCGGAACCCACACGGGGGGATTACAGCAATGATATCCATTCAGAAAACTGGCAAAATACTGACTGCAAAATTTGCCTGGTAAAATACACTAGTCAACAAATCCTGGGGTTTGCTCAGCGATATCCCAGCTAACTGTATTGTAACTAACTATATGCATCATTAACATTTTTGCCAAATGTTTGCATGTTCATAGAAGGGTAGTTAGCTGACATTGTCTGGGGCAGATTGTATGCAGTAGTTTTTAGCAGAATTGTGAGTTTGCTTCATGGAAATCCTAGTTTGATCTTGCTTCACTGGAGAATCAGCTGCACTCCTGTGAAGTACCAACAGTGTGCCGTGGAGTTAGTTTTAAATGTGTGTGGGAAGTACCAACAGTGTGCCGTGGAGTTAGTTTTAAATGTGTGTGGGAAGTACCAACAGTGTGCCGTGGAGTTAGTTTTAAATGTGTGTGGGAAGTACCAACAGTGTGCCGTGGAGTTAGTTTTAAATGTGTGTGGGAAGTACCAACAGTGTGCCGTGGAGTTAGTTTTAAATGTGTGTGGGAAGTACCAACAGTGTGCTGTGGAGTTAGTTTTAAATGTGTGTGGGAAGTACCAACAGTGTGCCGTGGAGTTAGTTTTAAATGTGTGTGTGTGTAAGTAGGTGTTTGTGGTCCCCTTATTTTCTCAGCTACATTGGGCATTGTGGTTATACTTTTGTGCATTTGTTGGCTGCCTTCTGATTGAGTGATATGGCTGAATAGTTGTTGACTAATTTATTCATTTAAGCTTAGACCAGATTTAACTGCCAGAGACTGGCTCCTAGCAATATACCACAGATTGTGGGTTTCTAGACAGTGATAAAGAATGGAAAATAACATTTTTCACAACTAGAGATTCATAGGGCGGTCTAGAAAGTATATAATATTTCAGCATAGAGCTAGACCAGTAGAAATTTTGCTGACGATGTAGCTAGAGAGGTAGAAATGTCTATCTGAATCACACACCAGACCAGCTAGGTCCTGTTTGAAATTGTGAACATTAATTCATAGTATATGTGGAAATTTACTGTGGTTGTACTGTTGGAGATATCTCCATGTGAGCTATGACAGAAGTATTGAAGTGGGGCTGAGGAGAGTTCTTGAGAATAGGCAACAGTCAAATGAAATAAGAATTACGATACCTGGACTAAATTAACAATTCAGAACACCTGCTCCATAAGAGTCACATCTGATTCTGGTATATATGTGTTGGAATCCCATTCATTTTGTTACTGCGTTTGTGCAGTGCTGAAATTCTTTTAGAATGGTCTACCAGGAAGGACTAGGATTGGTTTTTTAAGTGCCACATCCACAGTGGAGTTTGGCGTTTTATGTTAAATTTGATTTTGTTTGTATTGCTTAACATTTTGTTCCCAGCACACATTTGTAACTTATTTTTTGTTTTCTCTTTTGCAAGTGTGAAGCAGAATTCCAACAAGTACTAGACCAGTTCCGAACTCATTTAGCAGAGTCCTACTGCAGCATAAGAACATCGGCCTATCCACATCATCAGCCTTTGCTTCAGAACCATGTTGTTTATATATGTTCCATCACATTTTTTTTTTTTTTCACATTTCTTTGATGCTGCATTTGCATATTTTTTTTATTTTTACTATTGTATGTTGACAATGTTTTTTCTTCTTCTTTAGTTTAGTGCAAAGGGAAAAATTTTTATTGCAGATTTATTTGTTTGTCAAGATTAGATTTCTACCCTTTATAAGTATTATGATCAATTATCTTTAGGGTCCCCTCCCCCCCTTCCTGCATGTAGTTGGACACTGCTATAGTTCGTTTGTCCACAAAGTTTTGGCCTTTGTTCATGTTTTACATTACAGTTCATTTTTTTTTTACAGTTGGTTACCGTTAGTTTGATGTAATTCATCATCATTACCATTTGAGGCTCCTTTGGTCACCGGTCAGTATGCTCTTTCAGCAAGTTCACTGTCTGAACCATGTGTACGTTGGTTTCTAAGAAGCAGTTGTGACTTGGGTCATTCACCTGATTGCCAGTTAGGTATACATTATGACAAATGGCGGTGAAGGGGTAAACGTGTTTAGGAGTTGCTGATCAGATTACATCTCACTAATATGCTTATTGTTTTAATAATTATTCAATAAAGTCATAATTGTTGCTGTAATGTTGGATTTGTCTTTTATTTATGTGTGTCTCTATGCTTCGGGTCACCTCCTTAGTTCCTTACCAGAAACATCTGTTAATTGCTGTGTCGATGAAAGTCCAAGAGAAACCAGCCTTAAGACAAATGTTAATGAGAGGAGAAGCCAGTAATGCTGGACTGGGTTCAGTACATATTGATATGATTGTACAGGATGGAATATTAAGAATCAACATCACAGCACTCTGTACACTCTCATAAGCGCTCTGTCCCCCCTCTTCAGCAGCAAGCAAAGAGTTCCACGTCAATGGCACCAGTAACTGTCTGATTGTAAATCTGTCTCCCCTTTCCCTAGACTGCTGAGCATTGGCCAGGTCCCCTGGTGACTCCTTGCAGCGCCATTCTCGTCTGACCATAATGATTAGTTCTTGTCATACATCAGTTCACCAGGTGATGTAGAGCAAGCCAGTCTTTCTGACAGCTCGTTTTCCAACACACCACCATGACCCAGAGGACAAATCCGAAGGGCGCTAATTACCCGGGACCTCTAAAGTGATGCTTGCCAATCGACATGGATAATCCCTGCCTGCGCCTTCCAACATGCTTTGGAGTCAACGGACATAGAAATACAAAAACCTCCCAGTTTCAATAGCCAAAAATCGTTGCGCCTGTACACAGGAGCCTGCAGCAATACAACCTCCAACAAACATTACCTATGCTGAGTGAATGCCATATCATAACACTCCCCAACAACATAGAAGAGGTCGAGCGACCTAAGGAGGCTGGAATGGCAAGGGAAGTCACTCCATTCATGGAAACGTTATCAGGTCCCATTAACCATTTGTTGAACTTCTGATTCTGCAGCATCAGCTGGTCAGTCCCTGCACTCACAAACTCAAGGGATTAGAGCCCTATACAAATCAGGGCATCAGTCACGTGTCTATTGCGCACTTCCGGGGACTATAAACGCCACCGCCGAATTGTGAACTTCCGGTAACTTCCACTACTGCCTAGGGTGTCCCCCACGCCGCTTATGCGGAGTGTGTTGGGGCTAGACTAGATGGCTAGGACTCACGAGCAAATAAAATTAAGGAAGCTGCAGTAGCTGCTGCTCGTGAGTCCTAGCCATCTAGTTTAGCCCTAATCCAAGCCGCGTGAGCGGCGATCTGGACACACCATGCTGTGGCGGAAGTTGCCGAAAGTTTGCAATTCGGCGGTGCCAGAAGCTCGCATTTAAAGACAACAAAACTGCGCAATGGACACGTGATTGATGCCCTGTTAGGGTATATTTTCCACTTCGATAATTTACAACCGTTATTCGGAGGATAGCTGCCTCAGCCATCTAGTTTAGACTCCCTCCCCGCCGTAGGTAGTGGCGCAGGGGATACTCTCGGCGGTGGCGGTATAGTCGCCGGAAAATGGTCCCCATTTTACATATGACTGGGGCCGTGTAAGGGTATTTAATTTCGATAATTTGGGACTGTTATTCGGAGGATAGCCATTCATTCACTCTATCAGATTTTCCAGCTATCCCCCGAATAACAGGCACTAAAGATGGCGGCCACAAAATATCCTTTTGAGCCGCAGTCACGTGACATTATTTGCGGTTTTCCAGCGACTGGAGCCACGCGGCGTGGATTGGGGGCTAAACTAGATGGCTAGGACTCACGAGAAAAGCTGCAGGAGATGTGGAAGCTGCTGCTCGTGGGTCCTAGCCATCTAGTGCGCAACTGACTCGTGACTGCAGCTCGAAAGGATATTTTGCGGCCGCCGTCTTTAGTGCCCGTTATTCGGAGGATAGCTAATTTTTCTAATTGTAAGTGCTCACATTTTATTGGTGTGGCGCGGTGATTTATGTCACAGGCGTGGGGGGAAGTTAAGCCCAACTCGACGTGTATAAGGAGATACTCCGTACGTCACTCGGGCGCCAGTCCTTTACTATCCTGGTTGTACGGAACCTCACGCAAGACCCCTACAGCACGTCCTCGTCGTGCGCCACGGATAATGTCTCAAATGAGCATTAACAGAGCTGTTAGGGGATCTCGGAGTTCGGCGGCCCCCAGAGGTGATGTGTCCTTGTGGCCCTCATCAGCCCGCCCCCAAACGCTTGGGTGAAAAATGTTACCAAAACTCATTAGGAACATGAGTAGGTTTGCCAAACGTACAGTCAAAATTACAACCCTTGGTTAAAAGACTGTGGAGACTGTTAACCCTCAGTGTCGTCGACACCGCGCTGAGGTGTACCACAACAGCAAATATCCATAGGCGGACCATCCTTGTACATCCTCGGCTAACCCTCAGTGTCGTCGTCACCGCGCTGAGGTTCACCACAACAGCAACCATCCATCGGATGACTAAGCCTAAATGTCCGACAAAACTAGATCATACGGATCAAAATCTGACCATCAAAATTTGTTATTGAACTGAAAAAGACCGAATGTCCACACCCAAAGACCCCACTCGCCCGAGTGTTGGGACAAAACTGATAACGATATGCCTGATGCAGGATGTAAAATTCTGTCGGGCTAACGGCTCGTCAAAGAAATCTAACGTGCGATGAAAAAAGAATGTACCTATCTGTGTGGTCACAAAAGTCCAAAACTCACGGGCTGCTCCCCGCTGACTTCCAGAGGGCGCAGCCCCTGCCGAGCGGGAGGCCTGATACGGTTGTGAGGTTAAGCAGGCATGTGCAGGACGTGACGATTCCTTGGGTGAGCCCAGAACCAGAGCGTGATGTGCCGGCTCTGCATACATGGATGCCTCCTTGGATGGCGGGGAATGCCCATGATCTGCCCCTGCCTTCCCTTGAGGGCTAACTGTTCCACAGGGGGCTGACCCAAAGGAGTACTCCGGGGGCAACACCTGCGGTGTGGACACCACACAAATCAGGCAACGTCTCGACCCACAAAAAAACAATGGCCACAGTCACCCTAGAAATAGGCCTGACGTCTTCCCTCGAAGTCGGCGTACAGCTGCCCATGAGGCAGGGAAATGAAAAACGGTTGTACACGCAAAAATCAGGTCCAGGTGAAAGCCAAAAGTCCAAGTGGACGATTAACCGGGACCTTCCACTGGAATTCACAGCCGGTGTTCGATGAAAAAAAAAAAAAAAATTGGTATGTTTTCCACAAGCAAAGATGTCATCCTTTTTCCCGACAATGGAATCCCGGAACCCACACGAGGAACTGGAACTTAACTGGCTGCTGAAGATGAGGACACAGCGCTTTTGATGATGTCCGGACTGCTGGTGACTACTGTGATAGGATTGTCAGCTCGTAGTAACTTATCAAACTGCTGAATGTAAAACTGTAAATTGAACTCGCAAACATCCTAAATACACAAAAATGATGTGTTGGTCTTACAAAAGGACACATAACAACCTAAACATTTGTTGATCACCCACCGTGATGTTAGCTTGAATCTCTTTCGCCGTTCCTGCCGATAAAGCAACAAGTTAACTCATCCACTGTAGCTGTCAGTATTTGAAATCTATCATGAGTCCTTGGGAACTGTGTCTCTAAAGTAAGTATATCTTCTTTTAACCTGGTTAGACAGGCCATTTGTCAAGACGTATATATAAAACTGCGAAAAACTATAATCAATAAATGGGCTCTACTCCGAATAACGGTCCAAAAATTATCTACGCAGAAAGTAAACCCTAACAGAGCCTCACTGATATCTAAATTTCGCATATTTTTTGCGGCTAATCAACCCCGTAAAAGTAGGATTAATTGTGCACGACATTTTCGCGAAACGCAACGGATTTTTTAATGACGATTAAACAGCGGCAAAACTGAGACGAAAAATTAGCGACACTCGAGAATACTCCCGATAGCGTTATCCTACGGCACGGCCTCAGTTATATGTAAGTTGCGGACCACTTTTTGCCGACTATAGTGCCACCTCAGAGTGTATCCCCCGTGGTAGGGGCTAAACTAGATGGCTAGGACTCACGAGCAGCAGCTACCGCTTCTCCTGTAGCTTCTCCATTGTATTTGCTCGTGAGTCCTAGCCATCTAGTTTAGCCCTCTCGGAAGTGGCACTATAGTTGCCGGAAAAAAGTCACGAGCTACTTCCTCCGTCGTTCCTGGCAGCGTGGTCGCATTCGCCACGGTCAAGGGATGGTCGGGAGAGTGAAGCGCCATAGTGGCGGATTCTGGTTTAAAGTTGTCCCGAGGCGACATGCGCGTACAGTAAAAAGCGCATTATTGATTATGTCTCGCCTGGAACGAGAATCGCGGACAAGCCGCGTCCTGTTTCCATCTTATTCGGGTGAGTTGGAATGGCGGACAGCCAGAAAGAACAAATATTCGCGCACTTTTTGCAACTTC